CTTTTTTATGTCTCTTTTTATTTTTTTTATTTTTCCTTTTATTTTTTCTCTCTTTGCACTTTTCTTTCTCTTCAAGTTTTATATTTTTCTTAGTTTGTATTAGTCTTTTATCTTTGTACTTATAAACTTTAATAAAATAATTACAAAAAATATGAATAATAATATGAGAAATACCTACTTGCCTGAGTCCATCAGGAAATGCCACAAGCATATAGAAAAGACCCTTGCTATTTACCAAGGTGTAGCCAGGTGCCAAGGAAAAATAGCAACTGACTTTTGGAGCCAGTTCTGGAATGACTGAAAAAGTAATAAAACCTGCAAAAGACAATTTAAAAAGTGGCAGCTGTACCTTGTTAGAATCGTACATTGGTCTTTGTGTTTCTACAGCTCCTGCCAGTGCTTGGTTTTTGGACATCTCCAAATGAATACTAATAACTAATACTAATGTTTCTACCCATTGTTCCTATGATTGGAAGATCAAACCATACAGTACAATCCTAAACACATTTACTCTTGGACTTTAGTAGGGCTAATTCCCAGGACTGTGGTACAGTATAGCAGTACAGTGAAGTAGGACAGTATTCTCTGTCCTCAGAGTTCTGATACAGGTAGCCCCCAGTTTAACAGAATGAGTTCTGTTCCGAAGATCTGTCCTTAAGTCGAATTTGTACGTAAGCCGGAACAGTATTATTGTATAATACTGCACAAGTAGCATTGTGTGACAAACTCGGACCATTGTAATTTAATGTGAATCACTGTGTATTTAACTCAAATTTTGCTCCAATAGGCTCGGTTCTTAACTGTGGGTCATCTGTAACTTGGGCGTTCTTAACTAGGAGAAGAACCAAAAAGGTGAAGAGATATTTCTGTACTCTTCTTGTATTTATTAATTATTTGATTGATTTTTGCCAGCAACACAACAAAATAAGTTTAGACCTCTACAAGGCCTAATCTAACATTTGTGTGAAAATGCTTTTTGCTCTATTTTATGGTATGCAGAACATACCATAAAAAAAAACTTTCTGAATGAAGAAAAAAACTATTATCTATAAAATATGCATTAAAAACATGGAGACATTATCTAGAAACAATTATAAACTTCAGCTGAGATGGAGATGGAGCAGGTGATTGGAACTTTATGTGGTGGCAACAGAAGCTTAAAAGATTGCTGGAGGCAATATTTGTACTTTATGTTAAAAGATTTACAATTATGAAATTTGCTCATCCTAAGCATCACCTTGACAGTATAGCATTTCTGGCTTAAGGAGAGGATATGGAACATTTTGGAATTAACAGCTCACTGGGAGGAATTTGACCTCAGTCATCTGACTATTCTCACCCTCTGTGATTCTGAAAGAATTCAAGGAAAAGGGAAGCTTGGAGAAAGGAAACAGCAATGAAGAAAAACTAATACAGTATGGTAGTGGTCTCTGCAGATTTACAGTAGATACAATCCCTGCTAATCAAGACCAAAAGCTTGTTTGTCCCTGATCTTGGTGAATGGGCTTGTTGAAAACTATACTTAATTGAGTGTTCCAGGCTGAATTTTTATCTTCATAGTTCCACAAAATTGAAGAACATAAAATTTGCTATCCAGCTTTTAGCTTACCCAGTGTCCCACCTTGCGAATGGCCAATATAATACAGTTTTTCTTGTTTAGTCTTATGCAGGATTAAGTCAATTGTTGCTGGAATATCATATATTGCTATTTCATGAAAACTGAAAGATTTAGATAGTATTTGAAGTGTTGCCTACCTGAATTTGGAAACAGAAACTGAAAAGACACCATGGTTATTTTTGTAAACCCAAATGGCTGTTACATCTATGTCAAAGTCCTGCAAATTAAAGGTGTGAGGGAGTAGGAAATTGGTCTGTGAAATTCCCAAGAATGTGCTGAATTGTTAGAATAAAAGGACTTACACTGGAATCTTCTGTTTTTACCATGAATATCAGACATACTCATTTAATTTTTTTATTTATTTAATCAATTGATATATTATATTCTTCATGCATTTAAATATAGATTTGTTCTTTCAGAAGACAAAAGTATATGCTAAGTATATTCATCTACATTAATATTGTTTATTATTTTTCCAAGTTTTTTCCCCCAGATTCCAGAAACAGGCTTTATGAATAGTCTTCCTTAAATATGCTGAGAACTATATCTGTGACCTTCTTCATGCAAAGAAGGTACTCTATTATTGAACTGAATATTATTTAATAGTAATATGTATTAGTACTCACCATTTTCACAGAGCAACCATAATACATTCTATCATTCTTCATCAAGTCCAGTATCAAAATACATCCCTACTTCAAGTGGGGAATAGTAAAGTAGCTATATTCAACAGGATTATCTATCTGATCAACTTTCTACTTGTCCCAGAACTTACCTGAATTCCCAGAATTCTTGCTGGTCAATTGAAAACTTTTGGTGTCTTCTAGACTAGGAGCTCCCCCTAGTATTAATTATCCAAACATCATAGCCAGCATCTGCTAAAAAAAATCCCAGGCTATTGCTAGGGATATTTGCAATCCAACACCTCCCTTCAGCAAGCAAACCATGCACGAGTAATACAACTGGTCTACACCCTAGGAGAGAAAGAGGGAAAAAGAGAGAGGTGACTTAAGCATATTGTTCAGCGTACCACTTTACTCACCTGAAATATCCAAATGTCTCACTCAAATGCTCTAATTTCAAGTTATGTCCATAATTATAGAGGTGTTTGTTTTTTGGGGTCCTCTCATTAGCCAGAAATGTTTACATGCTTTTGCTTGATTGTGAGGGCTAACAGATGCTTCCTCAAAGCATTTGTCAGGCCCAGCCCAAGAACAACGATGAGGCAGTCCAGTCTAGTGTAGCTCCTTTATCAGCTTACACCCTAAAGAGAGAATCTCACCAGACTAAATCTATCCCAAAGCAACTAATGGATACACCCCGTGAGCCTCTAGGGAGGGGCCAGCCTCAGCCTCTTCCCCTTCTCATGGTCTTGCTGTAGGCTGAGAAAGTGCTTGCCCTGCACCCTTTCCTGGAATGTACTCCCTTCCTCCTGATAGCCTTGATCTTCCATTACAGCATTCCCCAGTCTGGAGACATTTTAGATGACAATTTTTCTCCTCTCCATTCAGCATGGGTAATGGTCAGTGCCAATGGAAGCTGCAGTCAAAGTCATCTTAGGAACCCCAGGTAGTTCAGCTACCCTCTCTCTTCCCAAATGAAGCAACTTCTATGCACATTAAATCATACCTCAAAAAAAGGTAAAAAAGCATATTCCAGCCATACCTATCTTCCCAGGACCATGGATTCCATAAGGAATTCTGTTTGCCTTCAGATAATAACCATCTTTTGTCAGGATTTCATATTCTTCACTGGGGTAACCCCAATATTGGATAATTTGAGGCTACAAGAAGAAATAAATAGATGGAAGAAATAAGATTGTGTAGTGTCTGTATATATGCAAGAAAAACTATAAGATTTCAGTAGCAATTGTATTCTTCCTAAACTGATTAAATCTACCTCTAACTGGTGGGCACCAGTATGGCTTCTTTCTTTTCATATATTAACCACAGTGCTAAGATTCCAGAGAACAGGAAGGGTGGAAATAATTGTTCCCCTATATAAAAAAGGCAACAGGAATGATCTGGCTAATTATTGGCCAATTAGCCTATTGAACACCATCCATAAGTGATATGGGGGGGGAAAAATAGCTTCCAGATAAGATGCAACTGGGGAGGAAATCTTTCCAATTTCATCCAGATATCCAAGGAGATAAAGCAAGGATTTATTTTAGCCCCATTGCTTTTTTTAACACTCTGATTAAAACTTCCAAAGAGTCAGCCCCTATGCATCCAAATTAGCTGCCAGACCTCTCCCAATCCTAGTGTATGCAAATAATGCAGTTCTTCTCCCCCTGTAGGTATGAAGCAAGCTCTAAGGTCCCCTGGCATCCAATGGTAAAGTGGAACAATTGGTCATCAATTACAAAAAATCCCAAGTTTTAGTTTTCTCCAATAAAAGACAAAAGCACCGGGGATAATTGATTCTCATGAACTAGAGCAAGCTAAATGGTTTAAATATTTGGGCATGATCTTTCAGGCTTTTAGGAAATTAACAGGTCAGGTTAATTTTGTCACTTCTACTGTCCAAAGGATCATATTAGCTAAAACCAATTTGTATAGACAGCAAAGGGCAAATTCTATCCCACCATCAAGTAAATTGTTTATGGCTAAACCAGTTGCTCACCTATTGTATGGGATGGGGCTTGGCCCATTTATAAACCTGAAACCATTCAATTAAGCTTCCTTAGGACACTGTTTGGTTCTGCAAAATCTGTCCCTAATGCAATCTTGAGGCTTTAAGCTAATGTTCCAAGGAGTAAGGCCCAGCCTTGGAGCAGGATTTTAACTTCATGCCTCAAAATCATGTTTCTTACTGGGCTGTTACCTCTGAGGTTGACAGACAGCTACGAATCTTGTTGGTATCAAACTTCTGTGGAGGAATTATGTAGTCTTGGCCTTTGTGCATCAGAGTTCTAGTAATGTAGCCCTTCCAGTTCATCAAGCATTTGAGTGATGTTCATCATGCACACTCATGAAACCATGTGCTAATCCCTTCTGGCTCTCTTCAGGCCAGAATAAACAGCCTGAAATGAGCTCAGGCAAGCTTCTTTATAAACCACAGAACAGGGATGGCTCAATAGGAGTAGGCATATATGCCAGGCCTACAGCATTTCAAAAGTGTGTTGTCCAGTAGGAATTCTATTTCTGTTCAAGGAGTTGTTCCTGATCACCAGCATCCACTCATACAGATTAAGTTTTTGCAAGTTTGGTTAATGTCAGTGTTTACAGTGTTAACCCCCTCAATTCCACTATGGGCATAAGCTGGCTGAGTTTGTCAAGCCCAGTATCTAATGAAGGAGACCAGAGACCAGGGCATTAATAGCCAGTTCATTTGGTAAGCAGGCAAGGAGATTTGTGGAGATTTCCACTGCAAAACCATTTGTCCCTACGGGCCGATTTAAAAAACAGGGTAAGAATTGGTTGGGCAAAAAAATGGAGTCTGCTGTTTCCATGCACATCTGAATAAATAACTTACAATAGTCATAAATGCTTGAGGATTCAAATGTCTTCCACTTCTGAATTGTTCTGAAGCGACAGTTTGTTGAATTAAACATATTATTGCCAGCAACACCCACATCATGGCTCTGTGTTAAAAGATCTGTAAAAGAGTACTAGATGTCCTAAATAATTGAATTCTCCATGTTTCAAACTCTTTGGGACTTTTTTAAAATTATCAGTATCAAAATCAGATATCCAAAGAACATGCAATAACATCAGACTGGCCAAGTTCATTATGGAGCAAAATGTTTATTTTGGGCAACATATTAAAAGTGCTAAGAAACAAATTTATTCTGTAACAATGTATAGGTTAGATGGAATTTAGGGATGTATGGAAAATATTACATTTCAGAATGTTGTGGTGTAACTTGAAACTTCAAACTATCCACAGAAATGTGTAAATGTGTATATTAAATACTATATTAAAATAAAACACAGCAAAAAACCCTGACATAATAAGGAAAAAATCACTTGGCCAAAAGTGCATACAGTAATAGAAAAAGTACATACAAGGTGCTTATATTACAAGAGGAACACGAAATATTCTGATTTGGGTTTGTTTTTGCTGAATTAGTAAACTGTTGAGGAAATATGACCAATCTGATTTTGCATCTGGTGGAATGGAAAATAGAGTTAAGCAAACCAGTTTAAGGGACCCATCCTTATCTGAGAAAATACATTGGTACCTCTAGTTACGAACGCCCCTTCTTACGAATTTTTCAAGATATGACCAGCTCCGGCCCCAAAAATTTACCTCGACATGCGAACTCCGCCGCGAGATCCGAACCAGATCCGCCTCCATTTGCCCTGCTGCCACGCGGTCGCGGCTTCCTGTGGGCAAGATCGCGGTAGCAAGGAGATGTTCGGTGAGGCTTGTGGTCTGTTTT